TGAAGTCGCTGAGCGCCGCCGTCTTCCTCCTCTACCTGCTCTCCTTCGGCCTGGACACGGCCTACGGCCTGGGGGTGACCCCCGGCTACCTGCTGCCTCCCAACTTCTGGGTCTGGACGCTGCTGACGCACGGGCTGGTGGAGGAGCGGGCCTGGGGCCTGGCGGCCAGCCTGGCCACGCTGGGGGCGGCCGGCCGGCTGCTGGAGCCCCTCTGGGGCGCCCTGGAGCTGCTGGTCTTCTTCACGGTGGTGAACGTCTCGGTGGGGCTCCTGGGGGCCCTCGCCTACTTCCTTACCTACGTGGCCTCCTTCCACCTCGCCTACTTGTTCGCCGTCCGCATCCACGGCGGGCTGGGCTTCCTCGGGGGAGTCTTGGTGGCCCTCAAGCAGACGATGGGGGACAGCACTGTCCTGAAGGTGCCCCAAATCAGAATGAAGGCTGTCCCCATGCTCCTGCTCCTTCTCCTGTCTCTGCTGCGGCTTGCTGCCCTCGTCGAGAGCAATGTACTGGCCTCGTATGGCTTCGGCCTCCTCTCCAGCTGGGTCTATCTCCGTTTCTACCAGCGACACAGTAGAGGCCGCGGAGACATGTCTGACCATTTCGCCTTTGCCACTTTCTTCCCCGAGATCCTGCAGCCCGTGGTGGGTCTGGTGGCCAACCTGGTGCACAGCATCCTGGTGAAGGTGAAGGTCTGCCGCAAGACAGTCAAACGCTATGATGTGGGTGCCCCGTCATCCATCACCATCAGTCTGCCGGGGACAGACCCCCAAGATGCCGAGAGGAGAAGGTACCACTTGCTCTGCTTCCGTGGGGATCGTGGTTATGGGCAGCAAGAGTCGGGTTTAAAATCCAAATGAGGAGTTGGGGAGATTAGGGTGCAGGGTGTGAAGAGGGGGGCCTTCCCCAGGGGATCTGCTAGGGGCTGTCCTCCCTGCCATGGGGGTGGTGGGTTCTTGTCCTGCTCTTCCAAATGCGGAGCAGTGGTGGAAGTGCAGAGGAAGAGTGAGGAGATTCTGGGCAAGGGGCAGGCGGAGTTTGGGATCCCTGCAGGAGAACGGGGATGGCATCTGCTGCAGGTGTGTACCCCCTGCTCGTGGCAGCCCTGCACCCGTCGTCCTGGCACGGGGAAGGGCAGTGAGTCAGCCCCACGCCCCAGCCCTCCCGCACACCTGGCATTGGCCTTTCCGACTCCCAGCAGGAAGTTTTGGTCAAGGTGTTGGCGCTTCACTTTCCCCTGCCTTGTTTTACTCCTTTCTTCCCCCGTTCCTGGAGCCGCCTGTGCACTGCCTGACAGCTTCCGAGCGCACCACGTGGCATGAAAACTCTGCGTAGGTGGTCTGGAAGTGCTGTGGTCTGGGAGTTCGAGTGAGTTTCTTTGGGGCAGTCCCAGGCACTCTGGGTCATATCCAGCACTGCTGAATCCACCCTCTCCTGCCGGGAAAAAGGCAGGGACAGGTTTGCACAGAGCCCCATGGGGCAGAGCTGTTAACCCACCTATCCCTTGCCCTGCAGGCAGCTGGCCCTGAAGGCCCTAAACGAGCGGCTGAAGCGAGTGGAGGACCAGTCGGCCTGGCCTAGCATGGAGGATGACGAGGAGGAGGCGGCGGCAGTGAAGGCCGACAGCCCGCTGCTGCCTGACCCCAGTGCAGCTGGGAAGGGTGCTGGTCAGGAGTCCAACCTCATCACCTTCCAGGATGCCCCGTCCCAGCTGTGACGGGCCGACATGCCGCCCCCCTTCCCCGCCCCATCTCCGTGGGAGAGCTGCTAACCCCCCTTGTGTCCCCCCCCGCAGTTGGGACGCTCGGCGGGGAGTGGGGACTCCTCCTGCGGCAGAGGCAGGGGGGCTACCTCATTCCAATGCTTTGTTGCCGCTCACGGCCAGCACCGGACCCCCAGGATGACGATGCTGCCGCCACCACAAGGATGGGGGTTCTCGAGCCGCTCCCCTCAGTGCAGGGCAGGCCACGGACATCGAGACACCGGCAGCAGGGGCTGTTTCAGGAGGGGGATGCGGGGCTGATCCCTGCCCCGATGCCACTGCGCTTGCCCACGCCGGAGCAAAGTCAGCAGCACTTCCTCGCTTCTCTGCCCCAGGGGTTGGCCAGAGCACTCAACACTTACTTCCTCCTTTCTGAAGGTAGTTTTGTCTCTGAGGGAATGGGAAGGCTGGTGGGTTTCTTTTCTGAATCCCTTTCCCGCGAGGACCCTCCCCAAGCCCTTGCAGGAGCTTGCCATGACTGATGAGAGGTCTGCCAGGCAGGGGGACAGGCTGCTAGGCAGGAGGGGGCCACCCAGCCCCTCACAGCAGTGGCCCAGCACTGCCAGCTCTGGGCTTTCTGCATGGGGGGTTCTCTCCTCCCTCTCCCACCCCCAAAGCCAGCCCTACGAGGACCGGTGCCCTCGGCTGCTCCCTGGCTAATCCGTTTGTCAGATTACACTAGAAGCTGGAATTAATTTTTACGGTGGGGCTCTCGCTGCTTCCTCCAGCAGAAGGTTTTCTTTCCTTCGGGTAGAATATGAGCTCCCCTTCTCTTTCCCTCCCTCTGTGTTGATGGGCTTTTTTGTTTTTCTGGATGGAGAGTATGCTCCCTGCGACAGCCTCCTCGCAGTTCCTGATCCCCTGGGCAATCCCCAGCCCAGGACATGGGTCGATGATGTTGTGATTATTTTTTTAAAGGACCACAAGAGGTTTTGTCAACTGGGAAAAACACAGACGTTTCGGTATCAATAAAGAGTTCTTTGAAAGAGTCGGCTCCTGCAACAGAGGGCAGGCAGGGCAGGGGCTGGGCACAGAGCAGCCCCCAGGGGCCCTTGCACAGGAGCCTGGGGAGGGGGTTTCTTCCTGGGTGCTCCCTGCAAGTTGGGAGAGACCCTTTGTAAGCAGGAGGTGGGAAATCTGCAGGGGGAAAATGTCTGTCTGCACCCCAAAACCCTCCTGGGTAGTAAAAAGGGCTTGTTGCACTGTAGCTGCCTGAAATCTTTATTGAGTAAAAGCTCTGGATACAGAGGAATTTCCCAGCCCAGGAGCTGCTCCCAGCTCTCCAGCCCAGCCGAGAGCAGGACAGGTGCTGAGGAGCTGCGGGGCCACTGTGCCCGAGGGAACCTCACAGCATCCAGCCGCCCCACTGGCAGGTGGGCTGGAAGGCAGGTTCTTGTGCTGCCGAGGTGAGGAGGTTTTTATCTGCCTTCCCCAGGGTTGTTTTGCAGGCTGGCTCAAGGGCTTGTCCCCCAGGCCTGCACCAAGCCCCGCTCCCCAGGTACTCACAGTTCCCTGTGCCCCTCAGAGGGACAAAACAGGCCTGTGCAGGCTTCCGGCTTGCAGCCCAGCTCAGTAATTTGCTCTGTAAAATGATCCCCAACTCCTGCCAGGTTGAAGCTTTGCTGTCCCAGCTGGCGGGAAGGATTTGTGCGTGGCAGTGAGTGCCCAGAACCACAGCTGTTGGGCAGGACTGACTGGGCGGGTCTTGGGGAGCCCTCAAGTTCCTGCATGGGGCTGCACTGTGGGGATGTACCACTGTCCCATTGCATATGCCTTGGGTGCTGCCACCCTGCTCAGCCCTCCTGTGGCTGCAGCCACAACTATGCCCTGCACCTTTACTGGCCAAGCTGCCTTCATGGCAGGAGAGGTGGTGCGGTGCCTGCTGCAGCCTCCCAGGCGAGCAGGGACTCCCCGCCCTCCTCACCAGGAACGCAACAGCTCCTGTCCTGCCTGCTCCAAAGCAGCCCTGGGTGGTAAGGGAAGGGAGAAGAAGCAGGAATCCTGAGTGAACCCTCTGGTTCCCAGCACTGAGCACCAAGCTGCCGCGGGGACCAGCAGCTTCACTTGTGCTGGGAAAAGTCCCCACCAAGGCAGGCATGAGGTGGGCAGCCCCTGCTTGCTCAGTGTGACGCACATTGTAGCTGCTCCCCAGGGACGAGACACTACAGACAATCCAGGACTAACGAGAGACGAGTAAGTAGAAATCAAGTTCTGGGGAGACCCTATGTGAGCAGAGGACCCACACAGGGGGCTGCAAGGGAGAGCCCTGGCCTCGCTGGCTCACACAGGGGAAGTTCAGATATGCGCCAGGCCTTCAGTGCTGGCTCCGCTTGCGGTACAGGTAAGCGTTGCTCACCTGGTTCATGATAACCAGGCTGGTGAGAAGGGGACACAGCATAGCGAGGTACCAGGAGACACTGGTCACCGAGGCGGTGAACCACAGGGAGCACATGCCCAGCATCAGGCTGGCACAGCCCAGCAGGTAGCCCACCAGCCCCGAGGTCGCATGGTACAGCTTGAGCTTGGCCAGCGTCCAGTTCTTCATCAGCTTGGGGTAGAGCAGAAGCACCCCTCCCGCACACTGCCCGCTGGCATACAGCACGGTCAGCAGCCCCGTCAGGCCATGCCAGGTCACGAAGTGGGCCTTGCCGTTCAGGTGCTTGTTGTAGGTGATGATGCCCAGCCCCAGGAGGGCGCTGAGGAGGGCGAGCAGCTGGAGGGCCCAGTGTGCCCGCACTTTGACTTTGCGGGAGAAGGAGCGGAGCAGCGAGGTCTCCGGGGAGAATATCAGCAGGGCTTCCGTCATCAGGAACGAGAACTGGGAGACAGAGGGCAGGGCGATTGCAACCGGCCGCCCCTACCCCTCCGCCACGGCTGGGGGCAGAACCGGCAGCGGGTCTACGTCTCCCGGGGCTCAGCCTCCCACCACCCACAGAAAGCAGGGGGGCCTTAGCCCCTGCGCCGGGTGCTCCCCGCTAGCAGGGCCCCTTCCTTCTCCCCGAGGGAGGCGCCCATGGCCGGGGGGCAGCCCGGGGAGACGGCGGGACTTACCGCGAGGGCCATGAGCAGCGGGTGCCAGGAGAAGAGGCCTGCAAGGGAAGGGCAGGCGCTGAGGTGAGCTGAGAGGCCCGGCCCGGCCCGCCCCCCCCG